TTAATTATTGGACTTTTCTTCTTCTTCTTTTTTTGGCTAAAAAAAAGTGATTCGATGATAAACATTCATTAATAAGGCCACCACCAATTGGATAAACACGGATCCTACGATCTTATATATTTTCAACACAAGTGAAAAAGGAACTATTTTTTATTAAGCTACTCTGATCGACATAATTGATCCGCAGTACAACACAGTCCAGATACGAAAATCTACGGGAAATGGGGAGTCTAAAGAGGCTGTGGTAAAGAACTAGTGGGTATACAAATTTAACTAAATCAAGAAAATATTCTGACACAATTTTTAAATTTTTTCCGCTGTAAGTGAGATTTAAACCCTCACGTACGATCTAACGAAGGACTTAAACGCCCTGGTGGCCAATCATTTTATTAGGTAGAGGTATGTCCAGATGAAGGCCTTGGCATGGCGACAATGGTGGACCACTCCGCCTGTTTTATGAAATGCCAGCTGTTTGCCACATGATTCATTTTGGTTAAGCTACTGGGTGATGATGAGGATTTGATAACGATGATGATGGTGATGACGATGGATTGGGCCATGGATTAAAGATTTTGAGAGAGTGCTCCAGTAAGATTACTAGAGCTACTTTATTGGTCAATTCCTGTATTAATTGATATGAGCACGAGGATATCGATGGTAAACTGCGGTCTCAGCTTGGGACCCCTCCTACTCCTGCCTGGGCGACCATAACAAATTCTGCGTTTAGCAAATTATCCAGGTTGTCACTGAACATTTTGAATGGATAAGATTTAGTCATTTGCATAGTAGATTATTTGAGATAATTTGAAAGAAAAAAATTACTGTAACATTTTTTTGATGTGATGTATGTAAGATAAAGAGATAGTTTAAAAAATATGTGGATGATGTAAATAAATAAAATTTGATAAATAATTTGTGATCCAAACAAATAAATTTTAGACCATCTCGTCTGATTTCATCGTTAGCTCTGACAGATTTAAAGATTTGTACGATTCACGAGACATAATATTAATAGTTATGTATGACAGAATTAATGGTAAAAATAGATGAAATGGTCCAAAATTTATACTTTTGATAGTTTAGTGGATTCAAACAAACTATTAATAGTTGAGTGGCTAAAACTTGATTATTCGAAAAGTTTAGTGGCTAACCAGACAATTTGTTCTTCTTCATTCTAATATGGTAAAAATAACTACTATACTTTAGAAGAATCAAGTTTTTTGTTGTTGTAATAAATCATATGTAGTACCACGCTTGTAACAGTTTTAAGACTTATCTTATAATCCAATTCAACATTTAAATTTAATTGATTCAAATATCAATATATTTTTAGACGCATTTGATGATTAAAAAAATAGAATATTTGAATTAATTAAGTGGCACAGAATTGTATACGTTTAATGATAAAAATAAAATATCTTAATTAATTAAGTAGCACGAAATTTTTTTCGCAATACTTGCTCAAAAAAAATGATAAATTATTCACTTATCACTTAATGTGATATATACTTAAATATATCATCGTATTTAATACTCAACAGTTCATTAACTAACTAAAAGGATTGAGATTTCAAACATCAAATTTCAATTTTCAGAATTCAAATTTATCAAATACACCCTTAATCTATAATAATAATAATAATCATGTCGCGCAAAGATGTCTTTTGTTTTCTCATTTTCCAATGAGAAGTGAGAACCCCACGAGACCAGATGTTAAACTAAAATTTCACCTGCAGTGAAAAAAATTCAAAGAAAGTATCAGAGCAACCCTTTGATCTAGCTTTTTTATTTTTTAAGCTCCTTCTCTCTGTAGAATAGAATATATCATGTCATACAAATGTTATTGTTGTCGAAAAAACTAGATTATCAACACTTAAAAAGAATCCAGTTAATAACAATTGCAATACCTTCAACTAGTAATGCAGGACTTTAATTCATATTGGCACCGCGCGCTTTCTACCAATAATTTTTTTTTTTTTTTGCTAAAATATTAAATGAGTCGTCCGTAGCATCATGTAATGTTAGAGAGAGAAAAGCTGAAAGAAATCCCATGCCAACTCTAAATTGAACACAAGTCGATTCATTTTATTCTAGAAGGAAAAAAAAAAAAAAAGGTATCATTCTTTATGTTTCTTTGTTTGGTGAAGGGGCAGCCTTGGTTGGCATTTAATGTTTGATTGAGTAAAACATCATCTGGACAATTATGGTAGTGGATCATATATTCCTTACAGTTATTAAGTAATACTACTAACAAATGATAAATGAATAGGGACAAATCCCAGTTCAATTTAAAGATTGTGTTATACTGACCTGGACAGGATCAAATCACCAAAGGGATTTTCTACTATAAAAATCTCTCCGTTTTTTTTTAACATATATTTTAAACACCTTTTTATTTCACATATATCAAATTGTTACAGTATATTTTCTTACAAAAACTTCAGAAAATTGTAATCCAAACACAGACGAACAAGGTACCATTTTAAGTGAAATTAAACAATACAATGCTGCGGTAACGAATGTGGTTCCACGCCACAGACAAGCGGACAGCAGAATTTGAGTTGGACCAAATTGCACCACAGGAAAAAGACACTACTGTTACTGCCAAGCAATTAATTGAACTGAACAATACAATGTGCCAACAGCAATTCCGGTCACCCCACTCATTCAACGTTGTTAGACCCCAATCGGACTGATCATTCTTCCCAATTTTTTAATTTGTAGCATAAAAACGCTTTAGTCAAAATTATAAAAAGTCGGTTAAATCAGTGATTCAATTCGACTGGTTAACCCGATTCGTAAACTTTTCGTTCTCTAAATCAAGATGTTTTCATCCTTATCATTTTATCAATTTAGCATCGATGGCTCCAACTTGCATTACATTATTTTAATTTAATTTTTCAAGTAATTTTGGAGAATGGACATATTTAGCCATGTATATTCGATTGTAAGTTTAGTATTTTTGAAACATCTTGCATTTCTGAAACTTATAAAAATATAAAATAATTATGATAACAATGAAATCAGCAAATTTTTTAAAACAGTTCGACTGATCTGACCAATTGGCCCCTCGTCTAAGAGTTTAATTTTAATCCAAGCCTCGCTGTCCAGTCCGCCTTTAACAACAACATTGACTCCATTATACTTACGGTTGAGGGGGTGAAGTGCGACTACCTCCTAACTCCTAAGCTATCAGTTAGTATTCTCTTTTACTTTAAGCGAACTTTAACGGTGAAATCTTTGATTGAATATAAGCAAATTCAAGCGTACAAGCATCCAACTCCAGACCTGCCGCTTGTAAACGTGGTAGTAGGTGTAGAAAAGGGACTCTTAGTAATAGCAGCAGCAGTAACATCAGACATATTCACCACCAAAACTGTTTTGACAGATGGAGAGGGAGTACTTATCTCACAATTCACGTGACCCTTAGGATGTAGGACTTGCTTGCTTTACAGCCCCACTCTTCCCATGAAGAAAAAAAAAAAGGGTCCAACCCTACAAACTACCCAACAAAAAAGAAGAGGAGGGACAAAAAAAATGTACCAAAGCCTGGTGGCCATCATTAATGTATTAAATTTTGACGGGGGTGGAACTCTTGCTTCTCGTCAATTTGTCACATTAAAAAATTGTTCTGCTTAAAAAATTTAATCGAGTGCACAGTACATCAGTCTGATTTGATAATAATTCAGTCTCCTCCGAATTATTCTTAGGTTGTATTTGGATTGCATTTTTCATCATTTTTTATGAAAAAATTACTGTAACAATTTGATATATATATGAGAGAAAAAGGTGATAGGAAAATGTGATCACGGAAAATGATAATGAGTTTGTTTGGATAGGGTATTATTTGAAATATTATTTGGAATAATTACTGTAGCACTTTTTGTGATGTGATGTATGTGAGATAAAAAGTTGATTGGGAATATAAAAAGGTGGGTTGGAAAATGTGTTTATGATGCAAGCGAAATATTATTTGGAATAATGTGTGTATCCAAACACTCCCAATATTTTTCGACGGAAACAAGCAATCCAAGCAGAGCATAACTTAGACTTTCTTCGATTCTTTCACATCCGTTAATATAGGAATCTATCGTATTGACAGAAAAAAAAAAAAAAAGAGAAAAGGGACAAAAAAAAATGTACTAGGAGTAGTAAAATGGGGTGGAATTTGCTTTAAGTTGTGGGGCAGATGCTGCAAGGAACAGAGAGAAAAGGACATGTAACCGTTGGATTGAGAAGGGACTATGGACTGAGTAATGTAGGAGAGAGAGAGAGAGAGAGAGGGGGGGATGAGACTTGAGAGGATGGATTACAGACAAATACATTTGCCAGCCTGACGGCCGGTTTCTTCTTCCCTTTCTTTCGACTTTCAATTTCAAACCAAACCCCCCCAAAAAAAAATACAAAAAAAAACAAAAAACAAGGATGGATGGATAGATACAAATGATAGAACGCCACAAACTTCCAGATGATTACCCATCACATGGTCTCGCTGTCTCAGCTGCCCCACTTTCCACTTCTTCTTCTTTAACTGGCTCCCACCTCTCCCCCACCAAAAAAAAAAAAAAAAAAAAAAAAAAAAAACTCTCTTGATTCCCAAAGGCCCCAAACCAAAGCCCCTCACATCCCATTCATTAAAAAATAAAATAAAATAAAATACTCCTTTTTTTTGTCTAATTAAAAGTGTTTTATATTTTAAAATATTTATAATATTAAAAAAAGTAATACATTTTTAATTTTTTTAATATAATATTTTTATTATATATACATATTATCATTCAAATTTAAAATTTAAATTTATGAGAGTAAAATTTTTAAAAAAATACAAATATCACAATTAAATTATCATAGTTAAAAAATTAAATTCTCAAAATCGGAACCAAATAATTGAAATGGATGAAGTATAATACCGCAAAATATTCCAATTTCAGATTTAATTTCCAAAACTATCCCCACTCTTATCCATATATCCCGGCCCCTTGGCTTCCCTGCCCCACTCTCCACTCATAAAACCACAGCATAGATTGAAGACAAGACTCTGCCTATCCCATCCAAGTCTCACGCCCCATCTCCTCTTCTTCTTCTTCTTCTTCTTCAAATCAAACAAGAAACAAAAACAACAGCACAGAGAAACCAACAAAACGCATCAACACAGAGCACTGCACGGCACCCAAACCAGAAAGTAAGAACCGAAAAGAGATGTCAAAGGAAGTGGGTGAAGAAGGGCAGACCCAGCATAGGAAGGACTACGTGGACCCGCCCCCTGCTCCCCTCTTGGACTTTGCCGAGCTCAAGCTCTGGTCCTTCTACCGTGCCCTCATCGCCGAGTTCATTGCCACCCTCCTTTTCCTCTATGTGACCATCGCCACCGTCATCGGCCACAAGGTGCGCTACGCCGCTGACCAATGTGACGGCGTTGGCATCCTCGGCATCGCCTGGGCCTTTGGTGGCATGATTTTCATCCTCGTTTACTGCACTGCCGGCATCTCCGGTACGTTCTTAACTAAGTAACTAACTGCATGGCCCATCACCGTGCCCTCCATTCTCTTCTTCTTCTTACTCACTCACTCCCTGGTAGCTTAGTTGGTTGCTTATATATATGTATTATAAGTAGTAGTAGTAGTAGTCATGTATTGCTGCTGCTTAATCGTGCTTTGATTAGGTGGGCATATCAACCCTGCGGTGACATTTGGGCTGTTCCTGGCGAGGAAGGTGTCGCTGTTCAGGGCAGTGGCTTATATGGTGGCACAGTGTCTGGGAGCTATCTGCGGAGTTGGGTTGGTGAAGGCTTTCATGAAGCACCACTACAACACTTGGGGTGGGGGTGCCAACTCTGTGATGCATGGCTACAGCAAGGGCACTGCTTTGGGTGCTGAGATCATTGGTACTTTTGTCCTTGTTTACACCGTTTTCGCCGCCACCGACCCCAAGAGAAGCGCTCGTGATTCTCACGTCCCTGTATTCTTCTTCTACCTCTTTCCCTCTTCTTGGATTTGTTTTTTCCTTTCTTCCTTTTTCTTTTTACCGGATCATACCTTAAATCCATTTGAGGACGTAATGTACTCGCGTGGTTTTCCTTCGATTTTTGTGATCCCGTTGCATCACTCCTTCACTGCTTAAAATAGATTAGAATAGGAGCAGAGTAAACGATTACAATTGAGAAAAAAAAACAACATCTTTGTGAATTTTCCATAGTCATGCAACTCTGCTATCTGTATGTGTTTTTTTTTGTGGTTAACTTAACATTTTCGTCCTTAGGTGTTGGCTCCTCTGCCAATTGGGTTCGCCGTGTTCATGGTTCACTTGGGTACCATTCCTATCACTGGAACTGGTATCAACCCTGCTAGGAGCTTTGGTGCTGCCGTCATCTACAACAATGACAAAGCCTGGGATGACCAGGTAAGTTCTTTTTTTTTTTGTATTCCTTGCGAAGATGATTTCTTTTTTCTTCAAATATTTACTACTGCTGCTACAATAAATGTTGCTAGCATCCAGCAAGCAGCAGGAGTATCATTTTAATGGGATTCTTTACAAATATATGGTGCAGTGGATCTTCTGGGTTGGACCATTTGTGGGGGCATTGGCAGCAGCAGCATATCATCAGTACATCTTGAGGGCTGCAGCTATCAAGGCCTTGGGATCTTTCAGGAGCAACCCCACAAACTAAAGTTAAAAAAGAAAAAAAAGGCCATCCATCCACCTGTCCATGAGGCGTGAAGAAATTAATGAATTCCTAATTCTCTCTCAATATCTGGAATTGCTTGTTTTCCGTCGTGTGTGTTAGATAGATAGAGGGAGAGGATTTAATTTATGAACCATCCCATCTTTTCTTTTGTAAACTTATCATTCCCTTTAACTTGTTTTTCATATAGCTTCCATCTTTTTTTTTTTTTTTTTTTTTTTTTATGTTTTTCCTATTTGTTGCTAGTCTTGGATGTGTATATTTATTTGGTATGATGAATAGTGCTGGTGGAGTTGTTTCTTTAAATCTCTGCAAATATTTAGAGTTGTAAACGAGTCAAATCGAATCGAGTATTTCATGTTTGAGCTCTGTTCGTGAAGTGATTCGAACGTCTGTGTTTGTTCGTCAATTTTTGAATTTCAAATGTGTTCGCGTTCGTTTTGTTCGAAGTGTTCGAATTCAAATTATTTTAAATTTTAAATATATCATGCAAATTATTAATTATTTTAAAAAATAATTAAAGCATTAAGTGATTAAATTTTATTATTTATTAATTATATAATTAATACTCCCTCCGTCCCATTAAAAATGTCATACTTTCCTTTTTAGTCTGTCCCAAAATTAATGTCACTTACCACAATTGGCAATAAAAACTTTCCCCCATTTCTATCTCATACCTTTAAATATACCAGATTATTTTAAGATTTTGATGGGCCCTAAAAAATTACAAGGGTTGCACTTGATATGCGTGAGTTTCACAGCAAATGGAAACAATGGTCGTGCAAGGAACATTCCAAAAAAGCGGTTGAAACATTGTTGAAACATGAGTCCCACAGGTCTGTCACCACTCCTTTATCATTCTAATAGTCAATAAGTTACGCTGCTCCATAGAAACCGGATAGGGGCATTGGTGGAAGTTACACCAAAATCGTTTGAAATCCAGACACTGTTGAAAATAAACACAACTCCCGAAGTGCGACAATTATTTCGGGACGGAGGGAGTATTAACATAAAAATAATAAATAAAATAAAGTAATTTGCCCTCCAAATATAAAAGTTCAGTCATAAAATTAATGCTTAAATTTATGAAATGATAATTATGTTCATGTTCGCAAATGTTAGTTAAAACTCGCGAATATGCTCGTGTTTGCGTTCGCTCGATTATTAATCAAATAAAAAAATTCGTTCGAATTCGATTTGTTTAAGGTTTCGAACAAATTTTTCACGAACGAGTCGAAACGAACCGAGCTGCCGAACAGCTACAAATATTGCTCCTTTCCTCTCTGTTGCAAGTGGCAATACAACACCAACCCCCCGGGCCCTTCTTCTGCCAGATACAAAATAAAATGAAAACCCATTATTGTGTTCATTTTTTTGGAATGCGGGGATCCAAGGGAACTTAGGGTTGATAGTACTGTAGTAGTTCCATGGGGTGAAAAGAGCCATTGTCCTTACTATTAACCCCTCGGGCCCCCTTACATGACGTGATAAGTTTTGATCATGCTCTAAAGATTAATTGCTCTGTTTTCTTCCTCGGGAAGTTTGATTTTGACCAATTCATTTCCCGGAGCAACGAGAGGGTTGCAGTTGGGAGGGTATGATTATCATTGCTTGGAAAGAAAGAGAAAAAGGGTTTTACTTTTACCTACCCTGTGAAATTGGTAACGAAGAAGATGCTCCAGTTCGTGACTCAAAATAAGCAGTGAGTTGTTATCGGTGCATTTGTGGTCCATGCAGCTTTTAACTTTTTCTTCTCTAAAGAATTTGTTAGGGAGTGTAGGCCACACTGCAGCTCTGGAAAGCCTGAGAAAAGGTCATTCTGCAGGCGCGACACAATGAAGGGGTGGGGGACCCTGCCCCTGATGATGCCTTGTTTTGTTTGGACTTAAAAGACGAACAATACAGGACTTTAGCATAGGGAAAAGAAGAGCAGTTTAAACGATGCTCCATAAAGAAAAGTGTGTTCCTTCTCTAATACTGTAGAATAGGAATTAAATGGTGGCAGAGGGAAAAAGAGCCCCGGTCCGGTGCGAATTTTGATGACATTCCAATCCAAGATCACAGGGTCCTGTGACTACCGGATTTGGGGCAGTATGACCGTCCCTGCACGGTTCATGGTCCAGATTGGACCTCAAAAAAATGTGCGGCTCAGATAACAAGTGGTAACTCGATTTCCGCGCCAAATGTGGGACCCATCACTATCTGTTGTGAAAATACAACCTGTGGAAAAAAAGTTACACGGTGAACAAAAGAAATTACGCGCTGTTGATGAAGAGGAAATTTGTCAGGGACGGTTGCACCTTCAACCGTCCCTGCCCCGAGTCCGTGACTACCCGATGGAAGGAAGGGCCTAGGAACGCTGTGCGCGCCCACATGGGAGAGCAAAACCACCGGTGGGGAAATGGCCGGGGGAGCGTGCTAGAGCTAGAGTCCGGCATTATCCATATCCAATTGGCTTTCTTTTTCTTTTTGGGGGTTCTTTCTTTCTTTTTTTAAACAACGAAAGCATCGTACGATTCGGCTTTAACATTTTGTTGATTGTGTCATAGCTAATAATATATTAATTCGGATGTAGTTAGTCTTATCCTTGGATGAATTGCTTTTGCTTTTTGGAGTTTAGAGTCAATAAGAAAAGACAAGAATAAAAGGTTGGATCACTAATCTTGCTTTATTTTGTGCGCTGGTAGTTCAAGAACAATTTCTGAATACGTTTTCATGGACATTTTTTTTTTATAAAAAATATTATCATGCTTGCATTATATATACATTTTTTTTCATTGATTATATATGTTGTCAACCATGATTTTATCTCGCATACGTCACATCTCACGAAAAAATGCTATAATATTTGCTTTTCAATGTTTTGTCCACAGACCTAGTGCAGTATAAGATGAAAACTTCTACAAGGCGGCCACCCTTTGTATAATAATGCCCGTTTCCTTTGACAATTTGAGAAATAGCTTGCCAAATTATTCCATCTCAAATATTAAAATATTAAATTTCTCTACATTTCTCTCTCCCTCTCCAAGCTTAAAAACAAAAGGAAAGCTTGTAGTGCAGAAATTGGGATAACTTTAGAAACCTCCCCTAAGGGGAGCTTTTTGATAATTTCACTAGCGTCGCTTGAGATTTGTAAAATTACACTAATCTCCCATAAAATTAAGGTTTTGATAACAAAATCAGTCCAAATAAAAAAAAAGTAACATTTAAAAAGTATTTTAAGGAAATAGATGAAACTTTTATTCCATAAATACTCCTTATGTATGTGTATAAGTTATATTAATAAAAGAATGAAAATAATTAAAAATTAGAAAACAATTAATACACACATTTCACTACTTAAAAAGTTCACATTCAATACATTAAATAACACAAATAAGCAACAAAATTACACTAATGAACACACGATTTAACAAAACAGACTAGTCATCTTTCTTAATATGATATTTGTTATGATTCTTATGATTTTGAACAAAAATTTTTTTTTTTGAATTTTGCCTTTCTTTTCCCTTCTTTCTCTTTCACTTCTACGAAATAACTTTACAACTATCACAACTTTAAGAGTTTCAAAAAAAAATTTCTCATGACTGAGGGTGTAAGCGAACCAAACTGCTTGCAAAGCCTTGGTCAAAAGTTTGGCTCGAACTCAGTTTGCCTGAATTTGCGCTCGAACTCGAGCTAATCGTTTTGTGTAACGAGCCAAATTCGAACATCAATAGTAACTATTCGAGTACTCAATGAACTTAATCGAGTATTTATATTATTTATATATTATATATTTTAATTATAAAATGACTATTATGAGTTAGTATTTTAATAAATTTACATGAGATAATATTCAGTAAAAAAAGTGATAGATGACAACAATTGTAATTTGATAAATCTAAAATGTAAAAAATTAAAAACAAGAAAAGAAAAGCTCAAGCTCGATCTCGAGTAGTTCGAGCTTTGATAAGACTTGCAATTTACTCGAACTTATATTTGTAAGACTTGCATTACGTTGAGTCAAGTTCGATTTCAAAATTATATATATTTGTTTGAGCTTGAACTCGAGTATGGTACTACTTGAGCTTAACTTAACTCAATAGCATCCCTACTCATGACCAATCTTCTTTTGTCCTCTATTTTCTGTCTTCTACTAGAAAGCCCTTCTTCTTACGTCATTATGTACAATTGATTTCTCGTCATTGTCAAATTATGTCAATCACAAAATGATGCCATTTGATATATCAATTGGCATTATTTTGCAATTGCAGGTTACCGTGTACAATTGATTTCTGATCATTGTCAAATTCTATCAATCACAAAATGGTACCATTTGATATTTCAATTGGCGTTATTTTGTAATTGCAAGTTACCATTCATCATTAAAGAAATTTCTAACAATTATTTCCATTAATTAGTCACTAACAATTAATTAATACTCTAATTACTCAATCGTCAGATATTAGTTTCTAGTAAGGCATAAAGTCTAGGGTACATCGGTAAATTTTTCATGTGATGTAACTAACTGAGCTCACAATTATGCCAAGGGAGGTGAATATAATTTATAAACTTCAAGAGAGCTGGTGAAATTGTTAGAAACCTCCGAGGATTTTAAAATTACCCCGCAGAAATTCTCCCCGAATCTCTCATCGACCATTTTGAAGAAGTAAATCCTGAGGAGATTGCATCCTTGACCAGTAGCTGTCGACTGCAGTGGACCAAAATCTCCCCACCTATAAGTTATTCTTTTTCCCTCACTGAATTCTCCGGTCCAGACACCCGATGGAATCCTTCGGATGACCAAATGAAACAATGGAAAGAGTAGTCAGTCGTGCTACAGTTGAGAGGAAAAATCATAAGCAGTCCTGTACGAGATGGAAAGCGGTGATTGCCTGGCTGGTCTCCCAGAATAGAAACAGCCAGAATCGAGAATAGACGGAGAAAAAGACCCCAAAAAACTTTCATTCATCTTTGCTACGGTTACTTTCATTACCCCAAAAAAACCATTTCAACTACCACACAGGATGAACTAACTACCAAAGAGCTTCAACCAGATCGTGATCATGTAAAAGATTATTACACAGCAGATACCAGCCGTTTTACCTCCAACCTTACACAACAGCTTGTTTTCGCAAGAAACTCAGTTCTGAAGACATCCTCTACATAACTGATAATCACGTCAATGCTTACTATTGTTTTAGTACCTTATGTTGAATGATACCACTTGAGAAATGCTGACTAATGTTGGTTTTTCCTACGTGCTTTTGGTGTTTCAATTTTCTGGTGTAGGATGGGGAATGTTAAACATAATTATGAAGCCCGTCAATTTCATCCACTCACACCAACATTCTGTTTTCTTCACTTGATGATTGGGCAAGTTAATC